ACAGAGGTAGTCTCTGTAGAGATGTTCATGGTGTTGTCTGTCTCTGGTTACAGAGGTAGTCTCTGTAGAGATGTGCATGGTGATGTCTGTCTCTGCTTACAGAGGTAGTCTCTGTAGAGATGTGCATGGTGTTGTCTGTCTCTGGTTACAGAGGTAGTCTCTGTAGAGATGTTCATGGTGTTGTCTGTCTTTGGTTACAGAGGTAGTCTCTGTAGAGATGTTCATGGTGTTGTCTGTCTCTGGTTACAGAGGTAGTCTCTGTAGAGATGTGCATGGTGTTGTCTGTCTCTGGTTACAGAGGTAGTCTTTGTAGAGATGTGCATGGTGATGTCTGTCTCTGGTTACAGAGGTAGTCTCTGTAGAGATATGCATGTTGATGTCTGTCTCTGCTTACAGAGGTAGTCTCTGTAGAAATGTGCATGGTGTTGTCTGTCTCTGGTTACAGAGGTAGTCTCTGTAGATGTGCATGGTGTTGTCTGTCTTTGGTTACAGAGGTAGTCTCTGTAGAGATGTGCATGGTGATGTCTGTCTTTGGTTACAGAGGTAGTCTCTGTAGAGATGTGCATGGTGTTGTCTGTCTCTGGTTACAGAGGTAGTCTCTGTAGAGATGTGCATGGTGTTGTCTGTCTCTGGTTACAGAGGTAGTCTCTGTAGAGATGTGCATGGTGTTGTCTGTCTCTGGTTACAGAGGTAGTCTCTGTAGAGATGTGCATGGTGTTGTCTGTCTCTTGTTACAGAGGTAGTCTCTGTAGAGATGTGCATGGTGTTGTCTGTCTCTGGTTACAGAGGTAGTCTCTGTAGAGATGTGCATGGTGTTGTCTGTCTCTGGTTACAGAGGTAGTCTCTGTAGAGATGTGCATGGTGTTGTCTGTCTTTGGTTACAGAGGTAGTCTCTGTAGAGATGTGCATGGTGAGGTGTCTGTCTGGTGTTGTCTGTCTGGTTACAGAGGTAGTCTCTGTAGAGATGTGCATGGTGTTGTCTGTCTCTGGTTACAGAGGTAGATGAGGTAGTCTCTGTAGAGATGTGCATGGTGATGTCTGTACAGAGGTAGAGTGTCTCTGTAGAGATGTGCATGGTGTTGTCTGTCTTTGGTTACAGAGGTAGTCTCTGTAGAGATGTGCATGGTGTTGTCTGTCTCTGGTTACAGAGGTAGTCTCTGTAGAGATGTGCATGGTGTTGTCTGTCTCTGGTTTACAGAGGTAGTCTCTGTAGAGATTGCAGAGTCTGTCTTTGGTTACAGAGGTAGTCTCTGTAGAGATGTGCATGGTGATGTCTGTCTGTCAGAGGTAGTCTCTGTAGAGATGTGCATGGTGTGTCTGTCTCTGGTTACAGAGGTAGTCTCTGTAGAGATGTGCATGGTGTTGTCTGTCTCTTGGTTACAGAGGTAGTCTCTGTAGAGATGTGCATGGTGTTGTCTGTCTCTTGGTTACAGAGGTAGTCTCTGTAGAGATGTGCATGGTGATTGTCTGTCTCTTGTTACAGAGGTAGTCTCTGTAGAGATGTGCATGGTGTTGTCTGTCTCTGGTTACAGAGGTAGTCTCTGTAGAGATGTGCATGGTGTTGTCTGTCTCTGGTTACAGAGGTAGTCTCTGTAGAGATGTGCATGGTGATGTCTGTCTCTGGTTACAGAGGTAGTCTCTGTAGAGATGTGCATGGTGTTGTCTGTCTGTCTCTCTGTAGAGATATGGTGTTGTCAGAGGTAGTCTCTGTAGAGATGTGCATGGTGATGTCTGTCTCTGGTTACAGAGGTAGTCTCTGTAGAGATGTGCATGGTGATGTCTGTCTCTGGTTACAGAGGTAGTCTCTGTAGAGATGTGCATGGTGTTGTCTGTCTCTGTCTTTGGTTACAGAGGTAGTCTCTGTAGAGATGTGCATGGTGTTGTCTGTCTCTGGTTACAGAGGTAGTCTCTGTAGAGATGTGCATGGTGTTGTCTGTCTCTGAGTTCTCTGTACAGGTGATGTCTGTCTCTGGTTACAGAGTAGTCTCTGTAGAGATAGGTAGTCTCTGTGTAGAGATGTGCATGGTGTCTGTGTGCTGTCTCTCTGTTACAGAGGTAGTCTCTGTAGAGATGTGCATGGTGTTGTCTGTCTCTGGTTACAGAGGTAGTCTCTGTAGAGATGTGCATGGTGTTGTCTGTCTCTGCTTACAGAGGTAGTCTCTGTAGATGTGCATGGTGTTGTCTGTCTCTGCTTACAGAGGTAGTCTCTGTAGATGTGCATGGTGTTGTCTGAGTCTCTGTAGTAGATGTGCATGGTGTTGTCTGTCTCTGGTTACAGAGGTAGTCTCTGTAGAGATGTGCATGGTGTTGTCTGTCTTTGGTTACAGAGGTAGTCTCTGTAGAGATGTGCATGGTGATGTCTGTCTCTGCTTACAGAGGTAGTCTCTGTAGAGATGTGCATGGTGTTGTCTGTCTCTGGTTACAGAGGTAGTCTCTGTAGAGATGTGCATGGTGTTGTCTGTCTCTGGTTACAGAGGTAGTCTCTGTAGAGATGTGCATGGTGTTGTCTGTCTCTGCTTACAGAGGAAGTCTCTGTAGAGATGTGCATGGTGTTGTCTGTCTCTGCTTACAGAGGAAGTCTTTGTAGAGATGTGCATGGTGTTGTCTGTCTCTGCTTACAGAGGTAGTCTCTGTAGAGATATGCATGGTGTTGTCTGTCTCTGGTTACAGAGGTAGTCTCTGTAGAGATGTGCATGGTGTTGTCTGTCTCTGCTTACAGCGGTAGTCTCTGTAGAGATATGCATGGTGATGTCTGTCTCTGGTTACAGAGGTAGTCTCTGTAGAGATGTGCATGGAGTTGTCTGTCTCTGTCTCTGCTTACAGAGGTAGTCTCTGTAGAGATGTGCATGGTGTTGTCTGTCTCTGGTTACAGAGGTAGTCTCTGTAGAGATGTGCATGGTGTTGTCTGTCTCTGGTTACAGAGGTAGTCTCTGTAGAGATGTGCATGGTGTTGTCTGTCTTTGGTTACAGAGGTAGTCTCTGTAGAGATGTGCATGGTGATGTCTGTCTCTGGTTACAGAGGTAGTCTCTGTAGAGATGTACATGGTGTTGTCTGTCTCTGGTTACAGAGGTAGTCTCTGTAGAGATGTGCATGGTGTTGTCTGTCTTTGGTTACAGAGGTAGTCTCTGTAGAGATGTTCATGGTGTTGTCTGTCTCTGGTTACAGAGGAAGTCTCTGTAGAGATGTGCATGGTGATGTCTGTCTCTGGTTACAGAGGTAGTCTCTGTAGAGATGTTCATGGTGTTGTCTGTCTCTGGTTACAGAGGTAGTCTCTGTAGAGATGTGCATGGTGTTGTCTGTCTTTGGTTACAGAGGTAGTCTCTGTAGAGATGTGCATGGTGTTGTCTGTCTTTGGTTACAGAGGTAGTCTCTGTAGAGATGTGCATGGTGTTGTCTGTCTCTGGTTACAGAGGTAGTCTCTGTAGAGATGTGCATGGTGTTGTCTGTCTTTGGTTACAGAGGTAGTCTCTGTAGAGATGTGCATGGTGATGTCTGTCTCTGGTTACAGAGGTAGTCTCTGTAGAGATGTGCATGCTGATGTCTGTCTCTGGTTACAGAGGTAGTCTCTGTAGAGATGTGCATGGTGATGTCTGTCTCTGGTTACAGAGGTAGTCTCTGTAGAGATGTTCATGGTGTTGTCTGTCTCTGGTTACAGAGGTAGTCTCTGTAGAGATGTTCATGGTGTTGTCTGTCTCTGGTTACAGAGGTAGTCTCTGTAGAGATGTGCATGGTGTTGTCTGTCTTTGGTTACAGAGGTAGTCTCTGTAGAGATGTGCATGGTGTTGTCTGTCTTTGGTTACAGAGGTAGTCTCTGTAGAGATGTGCATGGTGATGTCTGTCTTTGGTTACAGAGGTAGTCTCTGTAGATGTGCATGGTGATGTCTGTCTCTGGTTACAGAGGTAGTCTCTGTAGAGATGTGCATGGTGTTGTCTGTCTTTGGTTACAGAGGTAGTCTCTGTAGAGATATGCATGGTGATGTCTGTCTCTGGTTACAGAGGTAGTCTCTGTAGATGTGCATGGTGTTGTCTGTCTTTGGTTACAGAGGTAGTCTCTGTAGAGATGTGCATGGTGTTGTCTGTCTCTGGTTACAGAGGTAGTCTCTGTAGAGATGTGCATGGTGTTGTCTGTCTCTGGTTACAGAGGTAGTCTCTGTAGAGATGTTCATGGTGTTGTCTGTCTCTGGTTACAGAGGTAGTCTCTGTAGATGTGCATGGTGTTGTCTGTCTCTGGTTACAGAGGTAGTCTCTATGGAGATGTGCATGGTGTTGTCTGTCTCTGGTTACAGAGGTAGTCTCTGTAGATGTGCATGGTGTTGTCTGTCTTTGGTTACAGAGGTAGTCTCTGTAGAGATGTGCATGGTGTTGTCTGTCTCTGGTTACAGAGGTAGTCTCTGTAGAGATGTGCATGGTGTTGTCTGTCTTTGGTTACAGAGGTAGTCTCTGTAGAGATGTGCATGGAGTTGTCTGTCTCTGGTTACAGAGGTAGTCTCTGTGGAGATGTGCATGGTGTTGTCTGTCTCTGGTTACAGAGGTAGTCTCTGTAGAGATGTGCATGGTGTTGTCTGTCTCTGCTTACAGAGGTAGTCTCTGTAGAGATGTGCATGGTGTTGTCTGTCTCTGGTTACAGAGGTAGTCTGTCGTCAGATAAATCAGTTGATGTGTCTCTGGAGTGATTTGCATCCTCTGTGGATGAAATATATACAGTTTAGGGATCGTGTCAGAGTCCCTTCTAAGGACGTAACCAGCCAGATAGTACCGGAGTCTTTTCCAGGGACACAGCCTGCCCAGTGAATTCATATCCGTCTTGCAACAGAGGACCTAAACCTCCATGAAGATAGCATGAAACTGCCAAGAACAGACAACTAGATAACTTTAGGCTCAACATCAACATCTTTCTGCTTTAATGCTGTCTTTACCTGTTTCAAATGTATTACCTACCCAACATCATATCACACAGATTTTCATTTGTATTTAAACTCATGATTTGATGTTGTTTCAGTTCAGATCCGAGTGGTGCATGTAGATAAAGACCTGAAGCCAGTCATCAAACCACTGACAGTCTACATCGTGGTGGGTAGCAGTGGCTATTTTGCTTTCTGTAGAGAAAAAAAAAAACACTATCATCATTATGCTCTGGATGTAGATGTTCCATACAATCTTCTTTAATCTTTCCTTTTCTCTCCTGGGATGCAGAGGGACCTTACAGTTTTGTTTAATCTTTCCTCTTCTGTCCTGAAGTATAGATGTACCTTAACATTTTGGAGGGAAGAAAAAAAATAGACTCACTGCCTCCCTAACAGACCTGTTGTAAATGTCCACTAATTAGCACTCATTATTTCAAAGTCAAAGTGCATCTGCCTGATAGGTGAGGAACCAGCTGTCTGGATACAATTGTGCCAGATCTGTAAAACGAATTTGCATGGAAAACTAAATTTCTGGACCTTGACTAAAGTCCAGAACAACCAGAACTGTCTGCTGGTGAATATAAAGTAGATGTACCTTACAGTCACTTCTGTACTCTGCACAGATTGGTGCCATATTAATGCATGATAAGGCAGACGGGGTTAGGGCCTTGTGGGAGAGTGTGTACAATTCAGAGGAGCAAATAGATCACCACAGTCTGGTGAGACTGATGCAGCGAGAAGTGATGAGGAGTTCTGGCAGATGCTCGACGCTCAGAGGAGATCCAAGAGGGACGTTTAATCAGGATGCTGCTGGCGCCATTGGAACTCTGTGCTGGCTGCTTAAGATGGGGACGGAGTGCTTTTAGGAATGCCCCAAATGCTGTGATATTGGTTCTCGATTCAACACAACACAACTACTCTAGCTTCTATTTCTCTGTCAAGTCTGCCATCATCTGTAAATATGCTTCCTAGATATTTGAATTCTTGTACTTGTTTGATTATAATACCGTTAACATGAATGTCCATGTCATTATGTTTCCTGCCTGCCCTCATTACCTCAGTTTTCGCGATGTTTATTCTCATATGATACTTTGTGCAGGTTTGATATAAGCAGTCAGTCAGTTAGTCTCTCCTCTTGAGCTAAGGGCGGGCATAGGGCAGAGGTCATAGCTCTCCATGTCTGCCGGTTCATTGCCACCGGTTTTAGGTCTTGTATGTTTGTTAGGCCCATGTTAAAGCCTTCCCTTGGGATGGTTCTTACCAGGGTCTCTCTTGGTATTGCCTATTTTCTTTTTTCTTCCGGTGTCCATATGAGTGCTTGATTGGGGAGTCTGGTCTTTAAAAGTCAATCTGCTGTTGTAAATCCTGTTTTTGGAGCTGTATTAGACATTGATCGTTTGCAAAAAGAAGTTCATTGATTTATTCAATTAATTGAGCTCCAGTAAGTATTATATATTGTAGAAGTTTATTGGCCAGTTGTTTTATATAGCTCTCAGACTTGGATCACAGCTAAAGGAGATGAAGCCTTATTATATATTTTTTTAAACAGTCTTACGACGAATCTTTGGACCCATCAAAGATGCTAACAGCAGGGAATGGATAGTGAGAAGCCATAGTGAAATTCATAATCTTTTTAAATTGCCACTGATCACTGACATCATGAGAACTAATAGACTGAAATGGCTGGGGCATTGAGAGAATGTCAGAGAGGTAAAATCTGTATATACAAGGGCGCTGAATAGTCATAAACCACAAGGCAGATCAACAAGAGGATGGAGAGATAATATCCAGACAGATTTACAAACAAAACTCTTGGTGCCACCAACTGGAAAGAGAAGGCTAACCAGAGAGATGAAGAAAGGTGGGTGATATCTGCAGTAATAAACCTCAAGGGCTCAGAAGAAGAAGAGGAAGAAAAAGAATAGTTTATTGGTGTTGGATAAAATCCTGTTCTGTGGCGTAGAGTTGAAGCAGGGCTTTTTCTGATAGCAAAAGTGCAGTGGATGAGATTGTTCACCTAGCTGTTGGAGAGTTAGTTATACAAGAGTCCCACCATGGATGAGATTGTTCACCTAGCTGTTGGAGAGTTAGTTATACAAGAGTCCCACCAAGGATGAGATTGTTCACCTAGCTGTTGGAGAGTTAGTTATACAAGAGTCCCACCAAGGATGAGATTGTTCACCTAGCTGTTGGAGAGTTAGTTATACAAGAGTCCCACACCTAGCTGTGGAGATTTAGTTAAAAAAAAGAAATTGTTGTTCACCTAGCTGTAGGAGAGTTAGTTATACAAGAGTCCCACCAAGGATGAGATTGGACTTTGCAGTGTAATATTTGTGAAGATAGCAGTGGGTCGCTGCAGTTGATCTTCTTTACAGAGATGACAGCCCATGATTTAGAGACAAATTATGTAATTACTTTCTTGATGAGCTAGGATCAGAATGTTGTCCTATCTTTTCATGATCTGCCATTATCAGATCATTCTGATGAACAGATTTAGCAGAATGTTTGTTGTTGTTTGTTTTTCTAGAATCCAAAAGAGTCAAAGCTAGAGGAGTTCAGAGATACAGCTTCACGGACAGGTAATGTCTGCAACATTTAAACTCTTCAATCCAAATTGTTCATTGCTTCCTGGAAAAGATTTTTAAAAACAACAGTTGAAAGAAAGAAAAGCTCAAGGGTAGCTAAACAAACACTGTTAGCACACAACCTGGCAACACATTTGGCTTTGGAATGTAGGCTTCTTCCGCATGCCAGTTAACAACAAGTGTGGACTGGGACAAGAGACATTGTCCGTCAGAGACTAGAATTTAGAACATTGATTTAATCATACCATGTGCTTAATTCACCCAATTATTTACCATTAGCTATTCATGAATTGATTCAACAATTCATTCATTCATTCATTCATGCATTAATTTAGCCATTGATTCATCTTCATTCATGCATTAGCTTGGTTTCATTCATTCATGCATTTAATTCAACTTCATCCATTCAGGCATTTAAATTCAGCTTCACTCATGCATTAATTAAGCTTCAGCCATTCAGGCATTTTAATTCAGCTTCACTCATGCATTAATTCAGCTTCACTCATGCATTAATTCAGCTTCACTCATGCATTAATTCAGCTTCAGTCATCCATACATTAATTTGACCAATTATTCATCTTCTTCATTCATGCCATGAGCTTTCCCTCAGCCATTAGCTACATGAATGAAGTCCCCTGTTGACTCCATACAGCCACTGTATATTACAGGTGTGACAGAAATGACCTATCAACTACTGCAGAGTGCCTCCCTGGGAAAGTGGAAGATCCAGGTGAAGGATGATGCCAGCATGATGTACACCAAGGAGTTCACTGTTGAAGAATATGGTCAGTTCATGTGAAGCAGCTCCATCAGCTTTGGTTAGGTTATTGGGGAAATGTCCTGAAGGCTGTCAGGGACAAGTCTCTATGTGAAAACAGCCCATCTGAGGCTTGTAATCCCTGCAAACATGATACAGTATACTATTCTTGTTTCCTACTCTAGGTTGAATTAAGAATCGACATCACAGCCCTTGAGACACTTCCATAAGCGCTCCATCCCCATCTTTAGCAGCAAGCGAAGCATTCCAGTTCCAATGGCAACTGTCTGATTGAACCTGTGTGTTGCCTTTCCCTTGAGTGTTGAGCAGATACCCCGGTAACTCCTGATTTTTCTCACACCATTTCTCCACACAGTTCACTCGCTCCCCGAGGGCCCTCACAACATCCAGTTTGTAATATATTATTTCACGACAAGGTGAAGCAAAACTGGCCAGTCTGTCTGCCTGCTCATTTCCCAACACACCGATAAAACCTGAAGAAAATATCCAAAGGACCTAACTACCATGGGCATCAGAAACAATGCTTGCCACTCTGCACAGAGCATACCTGTCTTCACCTTTCTCAACATGCTTTATAAGGCAGTTACCATTATGACACACGTGTACAACTGATTCTCAATCCAGCGGAAGGCATTAGTGACTGCCTCCACCTCCATTCTCTAACTAGACATTGTGATATCATATGCCAGGCTTTGCTGCACTAAAAAAAATATACATTCATTTTTGCTATGAACCCCGATTTACTTCGCCTGCCTCTCAACACAGAGCCAGCTGTATAGATAATCACATCATTTGGGCAGGAATTGTTGTGAATCATTGTTGAACTTCTGATTCTGCAGCACCAGCTGGCCAGTCCCTGTACTCACGACATAAAGTGATAAGAACCTCACATGTATCTTTTCTGGACACTTTGACCGACTCCTCTACTCGCTTAAATTTGGTTTACTCTAATGTACATTTTGTGTATTAAACGTTTAGGTTTAAATTGTTAGTTTTACTATTTTTTTCCAAAAGTGCAAAGTGTCTGTTGAATTCCTCTAGACTTAAGTTATTTATTGCTTGTAAGTAAGACATAGAGAGTTAAAGTAACAGCCTCTTGGAACTGACAGAGTGAAGTTTCTAAATTACAGTTTGCCTGTGCCCTGAAACAGGTTGGTGTAAAGACTTTTTCTGATCCACTCTCAAAGTACCATCTCCATGGAGACTGTGTTGCAAAGCTCTCCTTTCCCTCTCCAAGCTCAGAAACCAGCAGGGTTTTTGCCAGACAGGTTCTAGAACTTCACATCTAGGGATCAGTGTACTAGGATGTAATCAGACCATGAATCATCACAGGGATGACAGGCTGACTGGGATCAGGTCTCGGTTGGTGTTGTTCCCTCCACAGAGTTCAGGTATTTCATTGTCAACAGACTCCAGTCATTGCCCAGAGGGATCAGTCTAAATGTAAAAAAATACAATAACAAAGTATGTGTTTTTGATTCACACAGACAGTAACAGATTCTTATGGTGTCTGGCTTGAAACACTCACAAGTAAGATAAAACTTTTTCAAGACGGTAACAAGCACAATGTACACACTCCATAGCTCTGGTTTGGAGATGGAACACTTCTGGCAGTATGTTGCTGTGTCGATTCTAAACTCACTCAACACTTCTGGCAGTATGTTGCTGTGTCGATTCTAAACTCACTCAACACTTCTGGCAGTATGTTGCTGTGTCGATCCTAAACTCACTCAACACTTCTGGCAGTATGTTGCTGTGTCGATCCTAAACTCACTCAACACTTCTAGCAGTATGTTGCTGTGTCGATTCTAAACTCACTCAACACTTCTGGCAGTATGTTGTTGTGTCGATCCTAAACTCACTCAACACTTCTGGCAGTATGTTGCTGTGTCGATCCTAAACTCACTCAACACTTCTGGCAGTATGTTGCTGTGTCGATTCTAAACTCACTCAACAGTTCTGGCAGTATGTTGCTGTGTCGATTCTAAACTCACTCAACACTTCTGGCAGTATGTTGCTGTGTCGATTCTAAACTCACTCAACACTTCTGGCAGTATGTTGCTGTGTTGATTCTAAACTCACTCAACACTTCTGGCAGTATGTTGCTGTGTCCATTCTAAACTCACTCAACACTTCTGGCAGTATGTTGCTGTGTCGATTCTAAACTCACTCAACACTTCTGGCAGTATGTTGCTGTGTCGATTCTAAACTCACTCAACACTTCTGGCAGTATGTTGCTGTGTCGATTCTAAACTCACTCAACACTTCTGGCAGTATGTTGCTGTGTCGATTCTAAACTCACTCAACACTTCTGGCAGTATGCTGCTGTGTCGATTCTAAACTCACTCAACTGACCTCTTTAACTTTTCAGTTGTTGATTTCATGATTTCTCTCAGTGCTTCCAAAGTTTGCGGTGACTGTGAAGGCAAGCCCTGGATACATCGTATCTGAGAAAGGAACAACAGGCTGTTCTGTCACAGTGGAAGCAATGTAAGCTTCAATGTTTTTATTGTACAAATATTGTTTTTAGCCTTTTTAATCAACAAATCTAGCCTCAGTGTGACTGATTAATTTGACTTATGACTCATCAGTCTATTCTGTCTGTCGCTGTAGCTGATTGATTTGACTTATGACTCATCAATCTGTTCTGTCAGTCGCTGTAGCTGATTGATTTGACTTATGACTCATCAATCTGTTCTGTCAGCCGCTGTAGCTGATTGATTTGACTTATGACTCATCAATCTATTCTGTCAGTCGCTGTAGCTGATTGGTGGTTTCTGGTTTGTACATAACAGAATATATTTTATGGAAAATATATTGGGCACATATTAACTGAAAAAAAGAGAGACAGAGATATTCATTTTGTCACCAGATCTCTTCCCTCTATAGATACAGTTAGTTGCATATCCTTTTTTTTTAAGGACTTCACAAACCTTTGTTATCTGTTTATGGTTTTATTAGGCAGTTTAACGTTCAGTAGTTTGTCATTGCTTTCAAAATTATCAGGGCTCACACTATGGTCTAAATCAACACAGTGCAGTCTGCTGCCAAAATGCATGCACCTGAATCAGACAGCATATTTCAGAATTATGAAACCACATTCACAACCCTTAAGTCACAGCCACTAAACATGGTGTAGCAGAATAATAATGGCAGAGATCAAAGACAATCAAGAAACAGAAGATGGAAGTTGTCAACAGTCTTCATTATCAGAGGATACACAGTATTGGTAGCTAAACACACACACACAGTCTACAACAGTTATTAGTCATTGAAGGAATACAGAGTACCAAATCTGGATTTTTCTTCAAAAATCAAGAAAACAGATAATACTAGATTTTGATATTGCAGTAGAATGAACACAAGAGAAACCTAATCAGCCAATATTCTGTTTGTTTTTTAAATTATCAACTTTAAGGGGATTTTTTAAAACTTGCAAGAATAGCACACAGATGCTCCCAGTTTTTCACCCTTGTCTGACGAGACTAGACATCTGATCCACAATTCCTAGGTGAAGTATACCATGTGTACTTTTCATATTTTGTAAGATTTCATTGTGGACACCATAACCTTGTGGTTTTTAACCACGCATGTCTGTAGTTAGACAGACTCTAAGATGTCTGTGTGATTGTTGTCTGCAGATACACGTACGGGAGAGGTGTCCAAGGAAAGTGTCACTTGATTCTCTCTATGGATAACTATGGGGAGACAATCCGTCTGCAGGCATCAAAACAGGTCATCTGAAAGAAGCTTTTTGTTCTTGTTGTGCTTTGTGAACCAGTCATGTACCGTCACCACAATGAATGGGCCTTCCCCTTTCTTCCTCTTGCCGTCATGGTGTTTTTGCATATAATATATTATATATTACCCATCACTTGATGCTGTCCTACCCAAAGTATTTACAGGATCCTCACCGGTGCTACAGAGCCTGTGCACTGTGCTGAGCTTCTTTGGACTCAGACTTGAGTTAGAAGAAAAATGGAGCACCTATGGGTTTCTACCTGTGTGCCATGATGTTGATCCCTTGTTCAAACTTTAAACTTCAAATTACTACATGTATCACTGTTTGTCATGCATGCCTGTCTTCCAGTCTATCATGTATTTTATAAGAGTGTCTTTTAATCTTTCAATGACCGGTAACAGCCCAAACCTCTTGGCAAGAGCTCTTTCATTTCTGAAATGCCTGTAGTTTAACAGTACCAATCGTCCCACACATTTTTGGAAGAGTAATGATCCTGAAACCCCTCGGTCTCCAATGATATTTGCCTTGTTGTCTTAGTTGTCTTAGGTAACAGTCATTCATTCGTTCATTATCCTGACTATCAAAATGATCACATAAATAAGTGAATTGATCTGTTACTTTAATTACTTGTCTTTACTGTTGCATCTGCTTGATTTGTTGTTGGTGTCTTCAGTATATTTGTCTTTACGTAACTTATTTGTAGTCCAACCCTTGATGCTATATTTGCTTAATCATCCATTTTCCTTTGCATGTCATTGCTGTTTTTACTAAGCAGAACAGTATCATCAGCAAAATCAAGATCTTCTAACTGTGTGTTCTCTACCGTGTCAATGCTGGTGTTTCCAACAAATTTTGTCATCACCCAGTCACTGGTTATGTGGTGACTGTCAGCTAATACTATCTTCTCCTAACATCATCCACAGCTAGATGAGGCTGGTAAAGCAGAGTTCTTAGACCTGGAGTGGAGCAGGTTTGCCAGAAACATACACAGAGATGAGTTCACAGTTCAAGTCACAGCTTCTGTCACTGATGAGACGGGTCGCACAGAAGCAGGTCAGACAAGTGTAGTGTTTTATGAGCACAGCGTTAAAGTGGAGATCTTGCCGAAGACAACCAGAGTGTTGCGGTCTGGCATCCCTGCTGCCATTTTTGTAAGTGAACCATTTTCAGATATCTTGAGTTATAAAAAAAGTTTTTTGGATATTTTTTTGGGGTTGTCATTCTCAAAACGTCATTAACCCTTTCGCTGCTGCGCCCTCCGCCAGCCAACGTAACCACTGTGCTAAGCCCTGGCGAGAGCTAATCTTTCCCCCTGTGCTGAATACCGTTTTAACCTTCAAAAGCAGAAGACGCGCTTGCGGCACGGGGTAAAAATTGTACACCTAAAATAAAAAATCGTTGAAGGCGTGTGGTTGAACTTTGCGCTGACAAGTCAGACGCGCTATTACTACGCCGTGAAAACTCATTAACAAAAAGAAAACACTACAAACTTACAAAGCAAACACAAAACACTTTAGTAAGCAAATACATGGTTTTTATTATTATTAATAATATCTTTGTGTGTGAAATATTTCAAAACAAGGTGCGACACACAATGCCAAATCACATTCCTTGCACATGTATCTGGTTTTCCGTCGTTTTTTGCTTTTTGCGCATACCACACACTTTCTTGTTGGGAATTTTTTCTGCGATGTTACGGACTCTATTATTGAAGGGAAATGCCTTTGTACTAAACGAAGTGGCAGATCTTCACTTTTTTGTCCTCATACACTTTTTTCTCTTTTCCTTGCAATATTTATGCAGAATTTCTCTTACTAACATTAAGTGAAATTCGGCAACAGGTGTGTTTTTCCCCCACAACAACTTTATATAATGAATGTGCACAGTACACCAACCACGCTTCACATAACGTGTAAAGCATCTAAATCCACCTGAACGCACGTGACAGGATGTTTAATTAATTATTACTTTGGTTATCTGTTGCCGAAAATGCTAACAGCTTAAATTTAAAATTTGCATTTAAAATAATTAATTTGAAAAAAAAAAAAACGGCACGTAGGGGTTGAACGCTGGATCTTTCGATTGTAAGGCAGACGTGATACCAACTACACTAGTAATTCACATGAAACTATAAACTGAAAAAAAGACCAGTATTGTATACTTTAATAGACAAACACATTTATGTCAGATGTATAGTATATAATTAACATTAATATTAATCATCACGTCAGTACGTGATGATTTTTGTGTGTGATTATTTTGGATCCGTTTCAAATCCAGTCGATGTAGATAGCTAGGTCATATGGTCACTGGTCAGTCTTGTTCACAGCCAGAAGTACACGTGTCCGCCGGCGTGCCGCGTGAGATAACACAGCTCATATAACTCACAACGTTTCAAAGTGATCCTGTGACTACTACTCCTTGAAAAAAACTCAATTAATTCTTCTTATTTAAACAAATGTTCTTGTTATTTTGTATTTAAAAAAAAAAAAATTAGACTAACGCAAAACCAGAAATATATTTCAGGGCAAAAAAATTACCGATCACCGACAATGCTTCTATGGTAACAAAGAAACAGGATAACGTGAAGTGCATCTAAATACGCCTAAACTCACTTGATAAGGGTTTTAATTGTATGTAAACGGGTCAGTTTGATCAGATTAAGTTAATGTGTATTGCTATTTCACCCCTAAGAATTACTGTCCTTAGCAATCTGTAAAAAAAATGTCCAGAACGAGATATCTCGTCCTTAGCAGTGAGTGCACAGAAAATTGCAGCCGAGTTATCTCGTCTTTAGCAGTCTGCCGGGCAAGCGAGTTATCTCGTCCATAGCAGCGAAAGGGTTAACTACACTTCTTCTGCTGTCCTTCATTCTAAAAAAAGTATAGGCCTTCACCAACTCAGCCTAGGCCTTTTTTTTAGACTAAATGATTGGTTGGATTTTGTAATGATATTGTCTACATCTCTCTATATTATGGTGTATTCACATATGATTGATTTATTGCCACCTATCCGTCTTTCCAGCCAATATTGTTAAATTGCGCTATGAAGATGCATGCAATTCACAGCCCATGGTGATGGCGAGTGTGACTAGGAGGACCCCCCGTGTCAAAAAAAGTCTTCCGCAATGATAGTATGGGATTTCAGGACCATTGTTGTCAACATTTGTGTTTAATCTGTTTCTTTTCAGACGCTCAGCTCTCATCCTTTCTGCAATCATTTCTTCCTTCACTCTCATCACCTTCCTGATATGCCCTTTCCACACAAAACGGTCCATGGCATTTGTATTCACGTATATGGCGTCAGGATCCTGTGTAGGTGGGTGTGTTTGGTGATAATGGTCAGCTGATTAATGTCCAAATTTTACAAAACACAGGTAGCTAAGGGCAGAACTGTGAGACGTACTGACTTAGTGCTAGCTGAGACACAGATAAAGTGTGATCCTTGGAAGTGCATGAAATCTAGTTGACTGACTTGCAACCCAATGACATATGGCTGATTTGCCACCCTTTGACATATATCCGACTTGCAGCCATTTGACATATGGCCGACTTGCAGCTCTATGACATATGGCTCTTGCAGTCCTGTGACATATGGCTGACTTGCAGTCCTGTGACATATGGCTGATTTGCCACCCTATGACATATGGCTGACTTGCAGCCCTTTGACATATGGCCGACTTGCAGCTCTATGACATATGGCTCTTGCAGTCCTGTGACATATGGCTGACTTGCAGTCCTGTGCGATATAGCTGACTTGCAGCCCTATGACATATGGGCTGACTTGCAGCCCTGTGACATATGGCTGACTTGCAGCCCTGTGACATATGGCTGACTTGCAGCCCTGTGACATATGGCTGACTTGCAGCCCTGTGATATATGGCTGACTTGCAGCCCTGTGACTTATGGCTGACTTGCAGCCCTGTGACATGTGGCTCACTTTCAGCCGTATGACATATGGGCTCACTTGCAGCCCTGTGACTTATGGCTGACTTGCAGCCCTGTGACTTATGGCTGACTTGCAGTCCTGTGACATATGGCTGACTTGCAGCCATGTGACATATATCTGACTTGCAGCCATGTGACATATATCTGACTTGCAGCCATGTGACATATATCTGACTTGCAGCCATGTGACATATGGCTGACTTGCAGCCCTGTGACATATATCTGACTTGCAGCCCTGTGACGTATATCTGACTTGCAGTCCTGTGACATATGGCTGACTTGCAGCCCTGTGACATATGGCTGACTTGCAGCCCTGTGACATATGGCTGACTTGCAGCTCTGTGACATATGGCTAACTTGCAGCCCTGTGACATATGGCTGACTTGCAGCCCTGTGACTTATGGCTGACTTGCAGCCCTGTGACATGTGGCTCACTTTCAGCCGTATGACATATGGGCTCACTTGCAGCCCTGTGACAAATGGCTGACTTGCAGCCCTGTGACTTATGGCTGACTTGCAGCCCTGTGACATATGGCTGACTTGCAGCCCTGTGACATATATCTGACTTGCAGCCAAGTTGCATATGGCTGACTTGCAGCCCTGTGACATATGACTGACTTGCAGCCCTGTTACATATATCTGACTTGCAGCCCTGTGACATATGACTGACTTGCAGCCATGTTACATATATCTGACTTGCAGCCCTGTGACATATATCTGACTTGCAGCCCTGTGACATATATCTAACTTGCAGCCCTGTGACATATATCTGACTTGCAGCCCTGTGACATATATCTAACTTGCAGCCCTGTGACATATATCTGACTTGCAGCCCTGTGACATATATCTGACTTGCAGCCCTGTGACATATGGGCTCACTTGCAGCCCTGTGACATATGGCTGACTTGCAGCCCTGTGACATATATCTGACTTGCAGCCCTGTGACATATGGGCTCACTTGCAGCCCTGTGACATATGGCTGACTTGCAGCCCTGTGACGTATATCTGACTTACAGCCCTGTGACATATGGCTGACTTGCAGCCCTGTGTCATATGGCTGACTTGCAGCCCTGTGACATACTGGTAACACTAGAAATCCAGTACAACTTCAGGTGTAGAAAAGTTCTATACTTGTTCTATAGTTTATGAGGTTGGGGCAGCCTGGGAACCATATAGTCCATATCTTTCTTACAGGGAGATTTGAACTCAGTACCACTACATTGGCAAGCATATGATTAAGCTATTAAATTACAAAGGCTTCATTGAATTAATCAGCATAATTGTGAAGATGCCACCTGATTGACTGATTGACATTGATGACTACAACCATTGTTCATTTGTAAATTATGGTGTTAATGAGTTAGTAAATTAACACACTTGGCCAGTTTTACTAATTATTCAACAGCAAAGGACTTTCATATTGTTGAGAAGTTACTTTGCAGTACACACACACACAAGCGTGCGCGTGCGCACATGCACACGCGCGCACACACACACATTTACATTGGTTTATTCTGTCAATGTTTTGCAGGTGAGGGTGTCAGATCACTCAGGAAACCCAGTGGACCAGGCAGAGGTGGAGCTGGAGACTCGCATTCCTGGCATGAAGTCTGTTGACACCAAATTAGTGGTGGCTCCAGGTGAAACAGATGTTGTCTACCACTTCACCCCCGAGCTACAAGCCCAGGAGGAGCAGAAATACTTTTACCATCATGACTCTGCTGGCACAGTTGTGGTAATTGAGAAGATCTTTCTATAGCTCATGTCTGATGGAGTTGATTATGATACCCTTCCACAGCCCAGTGTCTTTCTCTTATAGTCCATGTGATATGGAGTTCATTGTGAGGATTTCCCAAATGGCCAAGCGATTTAGATATTGGAATCTTTATTTTCGTTCAGAGTCAGTGTGCATGTGCCTGAGAGGCAAGGAAACAACAGTCTGTACAAAAATAAGTCAGATCTGTAAAATGAATGTGCACACAAAATACAAGACCTGGAACAAGACCATAGTCCAGAAGTAGAAGAATAGTCACAATTTTCTGCTGGGGGTTACAGCTAGGGAGAAGAAGAAGAAGATAGTCACTTTCTTTTTTCCATTAAGTTTGCCACTGGTCAGTCAGTTTTCTGTTTCTCTGTTTCTCTCTAAACATGCTGGACAACATCTTCACTGTCTGTCCTTCATTTCTCAAAGCTGTTTATGATTTTTGTCTGTCTCTAGAGGGAATTGTCTCGTTGACATCTCTCTTCCTTTGCTTTAGAGGCCATTGTCTTTTTTAGCTGCTGTTCAGTCTATCTTGCCTTACCTGATTGTTGACTAGGTTTCACTTGCATGAAACAGCTCAACTTGACAAGTGCTACATTTTTGCTTGAGTTACAATAATAGATCCTTTGTATATTTTGGGGGCCTGGGTTTAACTCTTTCAGTCCCAAGGAACACATCATATGTTCACAAGTTCCTACCTAGAAGCCCATTGAACACAAGATGTGCCAATTATATGTTTCTCTTCACAACCCCTTGGGCCTCTGATGCTCGATTTCCTGGAACAGAAAGAGATAAGTGTTTTACATTAACTTGATTTCCTGGAACAGAAAGAGTCAAGTCTTTGACATTCCCTGGAACAGAAAGAGTTAAGAATTTGTCGTGATTCCCTGGAACAGAAAGAGTTTTAGTTTTTGACGTGATTCCTTGGAACAGAAAGAGATAAGTCTTTGATGTGATTCCCTGGAACAGAAAGAGTTAAGTGTTTTACATTGACATGATTCCCTGGAACAGAAAGAGTTAAGCCTTTTACATTGACATGATTCCTGAAACAGAAAGAGTTAAGCCTTTTACATTGACATGATTCCCTAGAACAGAAAGAGTTAAACCTTTTACATTGACATGATTCCTGAAACAGAAAGAGTTAAGCCTTTTACATTGACATGATTCCCTGGAACTGAAAGAGTTCAGCCTTTTACATTGACATGATTCCTGAAACAGAAAGAGTTAAGTATTTTACAGTGACATGATTCCTGGAACAGAAAGAGTTAAGCCTTTTACATTGACATGATTCCCTGGAACAGAAAGAGTTAAGTATTTTACAGTGACATGATTCCTGGAACAGAAAGAGTTAAGCCTTTTACATTGACATGATTCCCTGGAACAGAAAGAGTTAAGCCTTTTACATTGACATGATTCCTGAAACAGAAAGAGTTAAGTATTTTAGATTGACATGATTCCCTGGAACAGAAAGAGTTAAGCCTTTTACATTGACATGATTCCCTGGAACAGAAAGAGTTAAGTATTTTACATTGACATGATTCCCTGGAACAGAAAGAGTTAAGTCTTTTACATTGACATGATTCATGGAACAGAAAGAGTTAAGCCTTTTACATTGACATGATTCCCTGGAACAGAAAGAGTTAAAGTGTTTTACATTGACATGATTCCCTGAAACAGAAAGAGTTAAAGTGTTTTACATTGACATGATTCCCTATCTCCAGGCCAAACTGACCTCTAACCAAGAAGTCATGTCACATTTGTCTGTCTTCCTCTACCAGTCCAGAAACAACAGTGTGATTTCTGTACAACCAGCTGATGACAAGGTGATGCTGCTGTCATTTTTTTCTTATATCTATGTCATTGTTGTCTGTGTTATCATGTCATATTTCTTTGTCATTATCACGTGTGTTATCTGAATTCATTGCCATTGTTTTGTATGTTATCATGTCCTATGTGTGTCATTTGTATGTTAGGTCATATTTGTATGTTATTGTGTGTGTTATTGTGTCATATTTGCATGTTTATTTGCAATTGTTGTGGATTGTTATTGTGTCATGTTTGTGTGCCATTGTTGTGGATGTTATTGTGTCATGTTTGTGTGCCATTGTTGTGTATGTTATTGTGTCATGTTTGTATGCCATTATGTCATTGTTGTATATGTTATTATATCGTGTTTGTCACTGTGTACGTTGTTATGGCATATTTTTATGTTTCAATGAGATTGTTGTGTATGGTATTGTGCCATGTTTGTATGCCATTGTTATATTTTATTGTATCATATTTTTATGCCATTGTTATATATGTTATTGAGTCATGTTTGTATGCCATTGTGTATGTTGTTATGTCATATTTGTATATTTTTATGTTATTGTGTCATGTTTATATGCTATTGTTGTGTGTTATTGTGTCATGTTTGTATGCTGTTGTTGTGTATGTTATTGTGTTAAATTTCTAGGTTAATGTGTCAAATTTGTATGTATGTATGTATGCAGCTGTTGAGTATATTGTTGTGTTATTGTGTATACCAATGTTTTGTATGTTGTGTAATAGTTGTATGTCATTGTTGTGTATTGTTAAGACATCATTCTGTATGTTATTGTCTCATTTTACGTTCTTGCTGTATATATTGTCGTATCATTGCATATTCTTTTGCCATTGCTGTATTGTTGTATGTTATTACATCGATGTTATGTGTTCTATGCGCCATCTTTGTGTCATTGTGTGTTGTGTCATTGTAGTATCTAGTAGATAAACATAAACAGAAAGTGTTTAGTGTATCTTGCTGATAACCAGGAAACCAAGAAAGTTTATTATCAAACTTGTATACTTGGTGTTTGTTCAGGTACCAAAAGTTGGGGAAACAGTTGAGTATAAAGTGGTGAGAAATTCCAATGATGAGCAGGTTACAGTCAGCTATGTGGTGAGTTGCTTGTTTTAATATCTCACTGTTGTGGGTTGTCACCTTGTGTGACTTAGGAGTTAGAACACAGTTTCATAATTCTGACATCATCATCATCATAACATGCCTTGCCAACGGATGTGGGCAATCATGCCTCCACAACCTGCGGTCTTCAACAACATGCATCAGTTGGGGTGTTGACACCCAAGCAGGTCTTAACAGGAGACAAATGAGTAATTTGCACAAATAAGATGTGTTGGGCTGACAGGCACACAAATCAGATCTGTTGAGCTGACAGGCACACAAAACAGATGTGTTGGGCTGACAGGTGCACAAAACAGATGTGTTGGGCTGACAGGCACACAAAACAGATGTGTTGAGCTGACAGGCGCACAAATCAGATGTGTTGAGCTGACAGGTGCACATATCAGATGTGTTGAGCTGACAGGTGCACAAATCAGATGTGTTGAGCTGACAGGTGCACAAATCAGATGTGTTGAGCTGACAGGCACACAAATCAGATGTGTTGAGCTGACAGGCACACAAATCAGATGTGTTGAGCTGACAGGCACACAAATCAGATGTGTTGAGCTGACAGGCACACAAAACAGATGTGTTGGGCTGACAGGTGCACAAATCAGATGTGTTGAGCTGACCGGCACACAAAACAGATGTGTTGGGCTGACAGGTGCACAAAACAGATGTGTTGAGCTAACAGGCACACAAATCAGATTGGGCTGACAGGTGCACATATCACACTTTAGTTGGCACCACAGTTGTAAAGGCACATGCAAAAAGCAATAGAAAAATTGCAGGTGATAAAATACATTTATGAATGGACTTTCTCCCTAATATCTCCTGGCAGACTCTTGCTCAAATATATGTTTTCCTCATATCCTGAGATCTTTTCCACCTGTGTTAACTCATGCAAAATGTCCTCACAGAAACACAATGTAATGAACACTGAATGTACTTCAGGTGGTCAGCCAAGGCAGCATTGTTGAAGCTGGACTCCCCTTAGATGATGTCATCAGCCTCACACCCACCCTGGCCATGTGTCCACGTGCCAGACTGCTGGTCTACATGATTGTTGGGGAAGAGACACCAGAGGTTGTCACTGATGTGCTCACATTTTCTCCCACTGACTGTTTGAGCAAAGAGGTAATGTCTCATGGCTGTCACTTGCTGTCCCTCTCAGATGTTACTTTCATTCTGTCCGTCTCAACCATTTGTTACTGTCACTCTTTCTTTCTCAGCCAATTGTCACCTGTATCAGTAAGATGTTACTGTCACTCTTTCTTTCTCAGCCAATTGTCACCTGTATCAGTAAGATGTTACTGTCACTCTTTCTTTCTCAGCCAATTGTCACCTGTATCAGTAAGATGTTACTGTCACTCTTTCTTTCTCAGCCAATTGTCACCTGTATCAGTAAGATGTTACTGTCACTCTTTCTTTCTCAGCCAATTGTCACCTGTATCAGTAAGATGTTACTTTCATTCTGTCCGTCTCAACCACTTGTTACTGTCACTCTTTCTTTCTCAGCCAATTGTCACCTGTACCAGTAAGATATTACTGTCACTCTTTCTTTCTCAGCCAATTGTCACCTGTACGAGTAAGAACCATTGTTACTGTCACTCTTTCTTTCTCAGCCAATTGTCACCTGTACCAGTAAGATGTTACTTTCATTCTGTCCGTCTCAACCACTTGTTACTGTCACTCTTTCTTTCTCAGCCAATTGTCACCTGTACCAGTAAGATATTACTGTCACTCTTTCTTTCTCAGCCAATTGTCACCTGTACCAGTAAGATATTTTACTGTCACTCTTTCTTTCTCAGCCAGTTGTCACCTGTACCAGTAAGATGTTACTTTTATTCTGTCCGTCTCAACCACTTGTTACTGTCACTCTTTCTTTCTCAGCCAGTTGTCACCTGTACCAGTAAGATGTTACTTTCATATCTATCCCACTTAGCTTTGAGTTTATCCCTGCCTATCCCAGTATCTCTTTGTTGTTGTTGTTGTTGTTGTTGTTGTTGTTGTTCTTCTTCTTCTTCTTCTTCTTCTTCTTCTTCTTCTTCTTCTTCTTTGCGTTTAACTGCTATACACTCCAATAGAAAGCTCAGAGTTTTGAGTATTAAGTTTTGTTCCTAAAACTAAGTGCTGTCTGCACATCCATGTTACAAGTCTAGCTTATTCGCAGGCTGTTGGTTCCTTGCCTCTCAGGCAGATGCACCCCAACTTTGTCTGAAGTCCCTCATTAGTCAACTGTTGTGACATGCTTGTAGGGGAGGCAGTCGGTCTGCTCTTACTTTCCCCACAAAGGACCCCAGAATCCACACTGGGATACCTTAATTCAACCTCTACCAGTAAGATGTTACCATCACCCGTGTCTATCCCACTCACCTGTACCAGTAAGATGATACTATCACCAGTGTCTATCCCACTCAGCTGTACCAGTAAGATATTACTATCACCAGTGTCTATCCCACTCACCTGTACCAGTAAGATGTTACTATCACCAGTGTCTATCCCACTCAGCTGTACCAGTAAGAGTTACTATCACCAGTGTCTATCCCACTCACCTGTACCAGTAAGATGTTACTATCACTAGTGTCTATCCCACTCACCTGTACCAGTAAGATGTTACTATCACCCATGTCTATACCCCACTCAGTTGTATCCAGCAAGTGTTACTACCACTCACCTGTACCAGTAAGATGTTACCCTGTCTATCCAACTCACCTGTACCAGTAAGATGTTACTATCACCAGTGTCTATCCCACTCAGCTGTACCAGTAAGATGTTACTATCACCAGTGTCTATCCCACTCACCTGTACCAGTAAGATGTTACTATCACCCATGTCTATCCCACTCACCTGTACCAGTAAGATGTTACCCTGTCTATCCAACTCACCTGTACCAGTAAGATGTTACTATCACCAGTGTCTATCCCACTCAGCTGTACCAGTAAGATGTTACTATCACCAGTGTCTATCCCACTCAGCTGTACCAGTAAGATGTTACTATCACCCATGTCTATCCCACTCAGCTGTACCAGTAAGATGTTACTATCACCAGTGTCTATCCCACTCAGCTGTACCAGTAAGATGTTACTATCACCAGTGTCTATCCCACTCAGCTGTACCAGTAAGATGTTACTATCACCAGTGTCTATCCCACTCACCTGTACCAGTAAGATGTTACTATCACTAGTGTCTATCCCACTCAGCTGTACTAGTAAGATGTTACCATCACCCTGTCTATCCCACTCAGCTGTACCAGTAAGATGTTACTATCACCAGTGTCTATCCCACTCAGCTGTACCAGTAAGATGTTACTATCACCAGTGTCTATCCCACTCAGCTGTACCAGTAAGATGTTACTATCACCAGTGTCTATCCCACTCAGCTGTACCCAGCTGTTACCATAAGATGTTACTATCACTAGTGTCTATCCCACCCACTCAGCTGTACCAGTAAGATGTTACCATCACCCTGTCTATCCCACTCAGCTGTACCAGTAAGATGTTACTATCACCCATGTCTGTTCCACTCAGCTGTTAGGATAGTTTATCCTTGTCTGTCCCTGTATACCTCTACTTTTATCTATTCTATCCTAACATGCTGTGTATCTACCCAAGCATGATTGTACCATTTCTAATCCTACTTTACTGTAACTCTTTCTGTCGCATTAACTCTTTGAGTCCCATGGGGTTTAGCATCAGAGGCCCAAGGGGTGGTATTGCAATTTTTTAACTTTCACAAGTGTAACACATTAAAACAGACCATACTAATTCCATTGTCACGCAACATACACATATTATACATCAAAGTGACCAGGGATTGTTGAGGAATAATTTTAAAATAGAGCTACAACAAATAATTGCGTTAGTAATTAAATATAGTAAATAAACAGACGGTGTGTTT